AAACACGGGAGATCGAATATGTTATAAATCCGAGGGCCAGTGAAATTGAAGACTACCGCCTCTCCTTATGGTGAATCGACGACAACGCTTACGAACCGGTAGCTATAAGCACAGAAAGCGGCAACCTGACGGAGAGTCAGATACGGAGGATCGAATGCCTTTCGACATGATTTTTCTCTGGACACTCCATCCTGCAATAGTCGACCCGTCCATCTTCAGATTGATAGACAGAACAGCCCACACCTTCGCTCTCACTTTTTCCTTGTTGTCTTGTAGGCCCAAAAGACACCTTCTATCACTTTGCATCAGCAATCATCTTCACCTTCCACAAGCATACTACACACCGACGTTCCCCTCATCTCCATCTCAATCTATACGACCAAGCCCAAGACAGCGACACCAATAGCGCCTCCAGCGGCAAGAATGGGGAGACCGGTAGCTGCGGTAGCTGCGCCCTTGGACTTTGATGTTGCGCTGGCCTTAGCAGTACCGGTGGATGTCATGGATCCAGTCGAGGACATGGAGGAAGAGGTCTTGGCAGATGAAGCGGCAGAGGCAAAGGCAGCCATGGCGAGGACGAAGATTGCGGAGAACTGCATGTTGTCCTGTGGGGTTTATTAATGAAGGTTTGGTCGATGGTGTTGCTAGGTGAAGTTACTTGTAAAGTGTTGTACTATTGTGATAGGGATGTGAGTGGTGTCAACGGAAGACCATGGTCTACCTGGATGTCTTATACGTTCTGTTCTCTAGCTCAGGGGTCTTCTCTCCAGGCTACATTTGGCCAATCTTCACACTGCAGCCTCATGAGGTGACGCGGCAGGACACGTAGATACTCCGCCGACAGTACGAACACTAGGTGATCCGTGATCTATGGTTTGAATCGAAGTTGAAGGAAGCCTTTGTCATATAGACTCATACCTCAGGGGCACCGCTCGACCCAATATAGCCAAGCTTTGAACCAGCTATCCATTCACCTTAGGGCGAAGAATAGTGCAAGCCGAGACATGATTGGTCTACAACACGGACAAGCCCACGTAAGCCTTGGTAGATCGCTCCGGAGTAAGCGTGTTGATAGGTCGCCTTTTGATCCAGATCTAGTAGATCACAATCGAATATGTGAGCAGTCTAGACGCAGCTGATCCATAGGCTAGCCAGAGAGCCGCCTTATTTTTGGAACATTGGAGCACATCCTTCGTTGTAGTATGGTTCAAAACGACTCATCTGCCGTTCATACGAACGCATAAAGTCAAACCAACCTAGGTTAAAATTTTGGTTCGGGCTGTGCAGGCTTGATTAAGCCAACGTCAGTTGCCCGCTCTCACAACCGGACTGATAGGGATTGGCAGAGAGGAAGGGCTGGCGTTCCAGGTKGAAGCGATCTTAAGACGACGGTCTGTCATGCCATGTAACACTACACTCGATGTATTGCCATATAGTACTCCATCATGTTCCTAAATCCGACTTAGCTCAAGTGGCTTTAAGTCATTCTCTACATCCACATGCACAGCAAGATCATCCATAGTATGAAGAGAATAATCCTTCCCAAGTCGACTAAAAGGACTTGTAATTAGTATCGCCAGCCATGATGAAGAAACATAGAACGCGAGGGCTATCAAAGCATATGGCCAGTTCTGACCTCTGACAACTCCCACAGAAGCGGCGTCGAAATAGAGAATGGTACAGGTGCCGCCGACCAAGGTAATCTGTATGAGAACGAGCAATAAAAGGCCGACTCGTGATGAGAGTACAATCTTTGTGATATTCGGAGTCGCTCGGCTCGATGCACCTGTTCCTCGCATGGCTATCTCTCTCCCGAGGAGCTCAATCAGGGCTCTGCTGTCTTTGAGATTTGGCTCAGGGGTGCCTGCAAGCAATCTTTGATCTGCAGCAACTCGCTCTTCTTCGTCGGATGACTTCGTTCCATAGCTATGATGCTCCCCATCCCCCGAATCACGTACCCACATGTGTTCGGTAATCGCACCTAGCGGCTGTACCAACAGAATGAGGGCTACCAGTTGACTGAATCCCCATTCCTCCTCCTTGGACCCAGTTTGAAGTAAATTTTGCTGCCGTGGAACCACCACCTGGATTGTCCCAAAAACAAGACCCCACAGCGAGAGCCACAGGGAGGCGGAGAATGATCGTAAGAACTCGACAAAGGCGACAACAGGGACTGCAGGAACCAGCAACAACCGAAAGCACCAAAGATATCTCTTTTGTCGAGTCTGCCTATACCGTCTCGCGGGAATTGACAGCAAGGACTCTGTTCCTCTCTCCAATGGTTGGCGAATGCCAAGCCCGTATAGTCGCCTCGTGGATTCAAACATGTCTCCGATCTTCCATATGTAGCTCACCAGGAGGAGAATATATCCTATCGGTGCGTCATTGTTCACACCATCGCCATAAGTCCTGCCCCAAAAACATCTGGCGGGTATACCCCAACCGGTAGTCTCGTTTTCTTGAACGTCATGGTCGTCGGGTTCAGAGATGTTGATGATTCCCCAATCATAGCTCACTGTGGGGATGAGGCCAACGACGAGCATCAGAAAAAGCACGACCATCCCTGTCAGACGCCAAGCCCGGACGGCAGGGTGCGTGCTCAAAAAAGGCCGTAGGATGGTAAGAGCAGAGAGATGTACTGAACTGGCAAGCCATGCCAAGTATAGCACGATCTGATAGTGGTAGACGCTGGTCTCGCCACTACGGAGGCCAACAAATCCAGCGGCCATGATGGCGATTCCCGTGACAATCTGTTGGTCGCTGAGCGCGAGGATGGTATGCTGCAAGACGCGATGCAACTTTGGATGGCGATGGACGCGAGACCTGACTCGCATGATCTTCGAATCCGTGGGTGATAGTAATTCTGGTTCAACAATTCCAAAGGCATACGCCACGAGGACCACGGCGAAGGAGACATAGGCGCTGATCAGGAAAGCCAGGATAACGCCTATGCCAGAGATGTCGGCATCAGGCTTGGTCACGGCGCCGGCATTGATGATGCGCAGACATTCTTCGTGGGAGAGCATTGTCGGTGGGTTGGCCAGCGCATTGCGAGGAGGAAGCGGTGGAGGAGATGCATCAATGGCAATCCATCTTGCAGACGCGCGGTCTGATGAGCGGATACGCCATTGCTAGCTAACTTAACCTAGGTACCGTTGGGAAGTGTAACTCCCAAGACTCATAACGACTTATCTTGATTGTTCGGAAAGTTAGTGCATTGCACCATGGCGCTGGCACGGCCCGGTAATGTCGCTGTTACCGAGATTAGCTAGTAAGCAGCATTTCAGAGCTGTTATAAGGCAATATCGTTATTTTATGTTCATTTTAGAAGGTGTACTAAAGCCTTACTCTTACTATCGCCGCTTCGCTATTAGTATTAATAGTAGTAAGGCTCTATCTATCTATATACGCCGGCTCCGTATCTATCGCTCTACTACCTTATTATCCKGTAACTCTATATCTTGTTTATCCTTACTATCGCTATCGCTATCGTTATTATTATCCTCCGGTAGTAGCCCTTAACTATATAGCTAATTGTTCTAATCTCTTAAGTTATAGCTAGCCGGCGTGTTAAACGTATCGCTAGTAGGGTAGTTAGTGCCTAGCGGATAGACAAACTTATTAATATCGAACGGCTCTACGGTTTAAGCTTCCTTACGCTTACGCTAGCGGAGCGGAGTAATTCGACGGTAGCGACTTAGTAGTAATAATTACGGTAGCTCTAATAATTACGGAGGTTCGAATTAATAGCGATTCGGCCGTAGAGTTAGTAAGCCTATATCCGAGGATAAGTTAATAATATTATTAAAGATAGGCTAGCGGATTAGTAATAAAATAGCTGTACGCTACTACTATCGAGCTACCGCTAAGCGATATACTAGTATTATATTAGGTATAGTAATAATTAGTAGCCGTAAGGGTGTTATTAGTAATGCCGGCCTATCGCTGTTATTCGTCTAAATACGCTCTATTTCGCCTATAAAGTAGATAGCGTTACTAGCATTAAACAAGTTAATACCGAAGGAGTTAAGGGTAGCAACTATATCCTTATAGCGCCGTATATACGCTATAAGGACCTATTCCCTTATAACGTCGTCCTTAATGCTCTTATTATCCTTAATGCGCTAGTACTAGCCGTTTATTACCTCTATCGCCTCCTTATAATATATACGTAGGTTACGAAGGAGCGGCTCTTACTACTATACGATAATATCCTCCGGATTAAAGCCCTCTAGCGAGAGTTAAGTAGTATCTAAATTACTCTAATACTAAGCGACTTTCTAAGAGTTTAGAGGTATATATAGCTATACGTACATACGCTACTACGGCTCTATAATCGTATATATATTAAATAGGTAATTACGAAGGATGTAATTATAAGGTAGCCGGTGTTAAAACCACGTAAGGTAATTATAGCGAGAGGGCGTTTTTTCGTCGTACTAGTATATAATACCGCTATGCATTACCTTCGCCTTATCCTTATTTTTATACGCAATATCTACCTGTTTACGAAGGTAGTCCTAGTAAGCTAGCGACAGCTTTTTAAACAACTCTAGCTCCTTTACGATCTAATAATAAGTGCGTTTGCTAAGCCTAAAGGACTATAGATAAGCCTTATATAGTAATCGAGCGTCTACCGTTAAAAGCTCGACAATCGTTCCGTATAGGTTATACTAAATAATCGTTGTTTTTCGGCTATATTTAATAGCATAGTAGTATCCTTCGAGAGGTAAAGTTGTCCTTATCTGCATTAATAGAGGGTTAGTAAGGCGAGGCTAAGTAGCCTACTTAATTAAGGATTTACCGCTCTAGTTTTTTTAAACGTACGTAATAAGCTTATTACGCTCTATAGCCGTAAGGCAGTAGTTAGCCTTTAGTAGCTATATAATCGCTATATTGTTAGCGGCTACCTTAGTTACGTTCCTTATATAGTAGATAGCGTAATAAAATTACTTTATAACCTTCGGATATTAAAGCTTAGGGAATAACTTAAGGAAGGTTTCTTTCGTATGCCTTTAATAGAGGTATAGCTATATCCGGTCGCCCTTAAAGGTTAAGTTAAGAGCTCGTTACTCTACTATAGAGTTATCGGTAATAGCTATCTAAGGGCTCTAGTTTAGATACTACTTCTTAAGTACGCGAAGGCCGGACTAAATAAGCTTCGCTTTCTACGTTTAGAGTATAAGGTAGCCGGCCGGTAGCTAGCTACTAAGGTTGTTACGAATATATATAGTAAAGAGCGTCTAATTAAGGTTAGTAGTTTTATAAGTACCGTTAAGTAAGAAGAGCTAATATTAAAAGAAAGAAGTTAGCTATTACCTAAATACTAATCCTAAGAGCTAGTATAGCTCTACTCTTCCTTTATCTTTATCCTTTAAGTACGTACATTACCGGCCTTACTATTATTTAATAGACGCTATTACTATACGGTCTAAAAGACAATGCCCTCCTACTTCTCGCTATCGACCTAAGGCTATACTAATTCGTATTATAGTAGTATATTATCTACGCTATCCGTTAACTTCTCTAAATTATAGTCTAAATTATCTAGCTACAACCTTACGCTATTACGCTAAGCTATGCTAGCCTTACGAATATTACGCTTTTTCTTCGACTAAGCGACGGTTCCGGCCTTAACTACATTACCGCCGATTATACCGAAGATATCCGCTAGAGGGCCGCTTTTAACCGCGTAAAGGACGGCTATAACGTTTAAGTTATTAGTATATATAAGGGACTCGAGGGTATTCTTTAATACTAGGTTAGCGGAGCGGATATCTATATACTCTAGCGTATAGTAATGTAGCTCGGTACCGTCCGCTATAGTATCGATAATATGTTGTTTTACTTCTACCTCGAATAGCTCCTTCGTACTAGGGCTACAAAACCTCCGTGTTATAATAATAGCCGCATTATAAGGAGCCTCGTAATATTCGACCTTACGGATACCTTTAGGCTACCGCCGCTCCCTCCCTATATCTTAATAATAGCGATAATATAGATACGACCTCTACGTTAAGCTATCCTTCGTACGAGGGCTCGGCTTCTTAATATATACGTTTAATACGCTATTTATAGTATACTCGAAGGTAGTAAGGTTAGTAAAGGATTAAGGATAATATATATAATATATTAAGCTCCGTAACGCTACGGTTTAATCCGCAATTTAATAATGTCTTATAAAGCGTAAGGACATAGTAGATAAAAGAATAGATAGATAAAGATAAAATAAATACTAATACTTATAGGCAGCCGCTCTCCGGCTATATATAGATATTACTAGATATAGCGAAAGGTTATTAAAGTGAGGTAGAGGGCTTAGAGCCCTAGTACACCTTTTAAAATAAACATAAAATAACGGTATTACCTTATAACAGCTCTGAAATGCTGCTTACTAGCTAATCTCGGTAATAGCGACATTACCGGACCGTAGTTCCTTAGTAGCTTTCGGCCGCTAAATTTCCGAACAATCAAGAGCTGCTCTTATAACCTCAACTCTCCCCGCGAATAAGCGCCATGCTATGTTGGCAAGGATTGGCACGGAGAATACGGGTTCAAGTCCGGCCGTCTACGCCATCGCAGTCCCACTTCGGCTTTGTGTGAGTTGACAGTATATACCACGTCGTCGTCGGCTGATGAATGCCAAAAGGTGGGTTCGTGTGAAGGATGTTTATGATGTGTTATGAATCATCCCGGTTTAGATGCCATCTCAAAGCTTAATGCCCGGCTAAACCACGGTCTTAGTAGTAGCTTATCCTGTCATCAGCGGGTGGCGGTGCCAACATCCTTCGCGTCCATGAAGATCCAACAAAGAGGATGGAGAGTGTAAGTTTTAACTGGAGATGTGGCTATGCAGGACCTGGCCGGTTATCGTGGTTAGGTAGATATATTGCGATGACCCGCTCTCCCCTTAATTCTTTCACCTTGACATCCACATGCCGTAGATCTGCCATCGCGACCTCATGGACGAGCAGGGTGCAGCAGATCTGGGTGCTAGATTCGAGGCACTCCCCACCGAACTGCGAGCCCACATCTTCTCGACCCTGCTTGTGCGTCATGTCAAGTGGGATGTGCGACACCTGATGACCTGCCAGCGATCGATGGAAAAGACTACCAGCGGTTACATCCCACCCTCACATCACGATCTTCCAGAATCAGAGAACATCTACATCTGTGCCGAGTGTGGACCAGTCACTCACGAGCGGAACTGGCGGCACGCGTTCGAACGGGGATACAAGGTATATGAATCTCCATGGCGAAGTACGTGGGCACCGCCTCAAAGCAACCCGTTCCTCTGCACCATATGTTATGACGAACGCTGGCGGAGCCGACCATTCCCAGAACCAACCAATCTTCCGTGTTTATGCGCTCGACGAAAGAATCTAGAAGTCCGTCTTGTGTGTCGACAGTGGAATGTGGAAGCTAGCGAGGTATTCTTCTCTGAGAACACTTTTGCATTCGACGACTCCCCCATGATGGGCTGTTTCTTCTCTGCCATTCCTCAGCATTGGACAGCATTAATCACAAAAGTCAGCCTGCTTTTGCCGTTGTGGAAGGAGGATGACAATGAAAGCATTCCAAACACTGCCACGATAGCCGCATCGTTATCTATACTTGACGATCTTACTTGGCTGCGTTACCTCGAACTGGATGCCAAATTGTTGAACAAGAAGGAAACAGCAACAGCTCTGTTGGAATGTCATATCTCGAGCCTCCGACAGGTGCGTTTCGTCGTTGAATGTCCGTACAAGGAGATGTATTGGCGGGAAGTGGAGCCTCCTACATACGTCTGGGCTGAGCTGCAAAATCGTCAYCTTCTCGTAGGCCAGTTTCCCGAAGTCGTGGCTCGTTCCATGAAGTCACAAAGCACTGAGATGTCAAGTTTCTCGATAGAGGAAGAGGTCGAGCGACAGAGAGAGCTGTACAGACTGGTTCAAGACGACTCCGAGCTGTGGGGAGAGCCAAACAAGCCATCTGCAATGCCCAGTGAGGACTTGGATTGGACTCTTTTTCCTGATTTCGACGTTTGATGATCTTGCTTAGTCGAAGATGGCGTACGGAAGGGGCTGATGTAAAGCAGGCCATTCCTACCTAATATAGCGATTACAATGGAAAGAGGCTGCGTGATTTTATGCCACCTTCTGTGGCTAAACAACATCCTCATTCCAACACCTTTTCCGCTCCAAATATCTATTGCACGTCTTCTGATTGACTCGTTCTACTCTCACCATTCATCATGCCTATCCCTTCTGAAAGCATTGGCGCGGCTGCGTCTCGAAATGCAGGATCATCACCTACGTCTCCTGCTGCGACGAAACTAAAGTCAATGGTCAACACTCATGAGACGCATCCCACCGTGCTGGAAAAGGACAAGTCCATTCATCCGGAGCATGGCGTTATTCACTACCCATTCTACTTTGGAGGAGTTGCAAGCTGCGTATCTGTCTGTTGTACGCAGCCACTGGGTGTCGCGGGCGTACGTGTACTCGACAACTGAACTAGCGAGCACGGCACTGACTTCAAGCAGCTTCGATTACAAACGCACGATCACAAGTCCACTCACCTTGGTATGGTCCGTCTCTTCGGCCAGGTCTGGAGCCATGAAGGTATTCCAGGTCTGTAGAAAGGAGTATGAGTCCATGCATCCTCCGACACACACATTTGGCTAATGTCACTCAGCTGGGTGCGTCCCTCACGAGGACGGTCATTTACTCGGGCTTGCGGTTCGGCATATACGAAAAACTCAAGGAAATGTCAACAACACCCACTCACACCCCAACGGCACCAACCATGGCGGCTTTTGCTGCGTGTTCTGGAGTTGTTGGCAGTTTGAGCAGCAACTTCGCAGACATCGTCTGTCTCCGCATGCAGCGCGATCCTGGACTGCCCATCCATCAGAGACGCAACTACAAGAACATGGCTCATGGCGTGGTGAAGATGATCACAACCGAGGGATGGGGCAGCATTTGGACGGGGGCTGGCGTCGGCGCAGGAAGAGCAGCCATGGGAACAGCGACACAGCTGGCCGGATACGACATCTTCAAGCGGGAACTCATGAAGAGGACATCTCTCGGTGATGACATACCCTTACACATTGCGTCCAGTTGTCTGGCAGGATTCCTCTCAACATTCTTGTGCAGTCCGCTAGATGTGTTCAAAGCTCGGGTGATGACGCAAAACAGCACCAATTCCGTCCCGACCATGCTCAAGCACATGTTCAAGACTGAAGGCCTCTTGTGGATGTATCGAGGCTTGACACCAGCTCTAATCAGCAGAGGTCCTTCGACAATCATCACTTTTGTCGCTTTCGAGCAGTTGAAGAAAGCATACCGTCGTGCGCATGGTTTGGAGACCTGAGGAGCGGTTGTATGATATCAGCCACAGGTGCGAAAGGAGAGCGGGTGCTATTTTGACGTATTCTTTCTGGACGAAGGAGTGGTTGGGTGATCTGTGTGGAGTGCTGAAATTTGTTGATTGAGGATGAGGAACCCTAGAAAGCACACGAAAGTATCACAAGTCATATCGGATGAACAAACTTGGGTTCTTATGCCCCCTGTCGCAGAGTCCCACCAGCTGAGTATGCCAGAACATCAATCACCATGTCAGTCCGCATGTCAAAAACAATCTTGCAAGGCTCTCCGCCAGAACACTACCGTCGTTAACAGTCTTGCCGCCGTGTCTTCCTGCACAAGTCAAACAGGACTTTGGCCCATTCCCATAATGTTCTCGCCTTCTGTCTTGCAAACTCGAACTTCGAGGCCCAATCCATCTCCGCTCTTCTTCATCCACATGATTAGCCGTATTTTGGAGCGATTCGGATTATCGATTGTGATTGAAATGTTGCCTCCTGTGGTCGATGACGGAGTATCGATATGCTGATGGGAGATGTTGGTGATGGTGATGGTGCGCTGAAGTTGTGGCGCAGGTCGAAGGTGAAGGTAGTGAAAGTTAAGAGCACGTGCCGTTTCAGCTGAAATTCAGCAGTTGCTGCTGCTTTACTTGCCCCAACCTCAAGAATTTTCCAGAGTCGAGCTCGTGAAGGTTCAGCCAGTTCATCCCACCCTGCTCGAACGCAGTCAAGGCACAGCGTAATATTCAGTGTGAACCCTTCTTGCAACCTCCCGCCCAAAGCGTCGTCTGAAAAATTCACTAACATACTCGCCCATCTCGAATCATCTTGGCCTCCAACCAGCCTGCTGCGCTATAAGCCCGTAGTCTGGGCAATGACAGATAATGCTGGATACGAAGGCCCTGTAAGCCTCAGGTATCGAACGCAGGCACTTCTCGAGACGCTTAAGATCAAACTTCCTGCTCGAGAAGGTTCGTAGACAGTAGAAGTCCACGGCGTAACGTTCCCGCGTGGAACTGTTCAGCTGAAGGATTTTCAGATCCGCGAAGTAGTCCGCGCGGGAAGCTGGATCTTGTATCTCGCAGACCTTTGGACCTACCAAAGCCTTATGGGCTATAAAGGTGAAGTCCTGGATCATGTCATGCAGTTCTCGTGGTAGATTGTCCAGTCGTCGCCGGAGTTCATCTTCCTTCGAGACGTTATTCATATCGTTCGAGGATGGGCTGTTGGTGGTAGAATTCCCATCAACAATCGTGGCCTCAAATAGTTCGGTAACCTTTGTACTTGAGGAAGTATCCGCCATGTTCGAGACTAACGATGAGGAAATTGATTGGAATGATCTTTTGTGTGTCTTGAAGAAGAGTGGATCAGATTCCAGAAAACGAGTTAACGGTCGGAAGGGCCGGTAGGCCAAATTCGATGTGCGAAGTCAGCATCAATATCACGTGCATGGCTCGCCATACACGGTACAGCCATGACCATACTTTGTACCGCTATTGCTTGTGAGTCAGGTTCTCGGAAGCTCTGCTTTCAACGAATAGAATATGGTAGCGGAGGCCGGCAGAGAAGCCGAGTCGTTCGCAGGCAGGCACATATTGTATCATACAATCTAGTATCTGCGTACGATGGAGACGATACGACCAGTGCGTAGCCATACGAAAATGGTGAGGGTGAAAGATGCAGACGTTGAAGAGGAAGAGGTGTGAGGTTTGAAAGTCCCGCCTTCTCGCTTATCTCACCTTAGCGCCGATCTCTCGATACGAGCTATCCGAACCACACTTTTTTGTTCGTCCATCATTCCCTCCATCCTCCTCTCCACCATCTTTCCACATCCAACATGGCGGCCACCACCGATCGTGCCCGCTTCTACCTCGAGCAATACGTCCCGGAGTTGCAGGAATTTTCCCGCAAAAAGATCTTCACGCCCGCCGAAATCACCGCCATAACGGCGAAACGCAGCGACTTCGAGCACGTCCTGAATGCTCGTGGTTCAACACCCGCCGACTACGCGCGATATGCCGTCTACGAATCAAATCTCGACTCGCTGCGGAAGAAGCGATGTCAGCGACTGGGCATCAAAGGTTCCAAGACATTTTCTGGTCAACGAACAGTTTTCTTCGTGCTGGATCGTGCGACCAAAAAGTTTCCGGGAGACATGGGCCTGTGGATGCAATACATTCAATTCTGTCAAAAAGAGAAGGCGAATAAGAAACTGGCGAGGGTGTTCACATCAGTGCTGAGGCTGCATCCAAGAGAATATGGAATGTGGGTTCTCGCGGCGAAGCATTACGCCGAGGGAATGGGCGATATGAGCACCGCGAGAGGGTACATGCAGAGAGGACTGAGGTTCTGCAAAGATGAGAGGAAGCTTTATCTGGAGTACGTGCGACTAGAGATGGTCTACCTTGCAAAGCTGGCGGCACGAAGGAAGGTTCTGGGATTGGACGAGAGGCGGCAGGAGAAGGCGCAGGACGAGGACGACAACATGATCAGCCTGCCGACAATCACGGCGGAAGACATCAACCCCGACGCCGGAAAGGGTATCGAGGAGGTGGATGAGGCCGCGTTGAAGAGACTTGCGAATGCACCAGCTTACACAGGCGCCATTCCCATTGCGATCTTCGACTCGGCGATGAAGCAAGTCAAGAATGCCGCAGAGGCGGCGGAGGAGTTCTTCAACCTGGTGTTCGAGTTCAGTGCGGTTCCTTCGACTGCTGTCATCTTGGAGCACATCTTGGACCATCTACGCACAGCCCATCCCAACACCGTCGAGACTGTGGTGTGTGAGGCGAAGCTTGCGCTCTTCGGTGTGGATATGAATTCTGCAGATTTCCCACCTGCTCTTGGGCGGGGTCTTGCAAGTCTCAAATCTGGCACAAATGCGGTACCAGAGAAGCAGCGGAAAAGGTTCGCTGAGAAGGCGATCGCGTTGTTGTTGGCTTGGGGCGGAGCTCCGGACCAAATGGACGAGGATGTCTCGACTGTGCTTGCCGCTAGCATGAACCGGTATCTCAAGCTGGCTGGGCGGGCAAAGGAGGAGACAGGAGCGGCGTTATTGCACAAGGCAAGAGGGGGTGATGCGTGGAATCAGGAACTCATGATAGAGGGTTGATCGATCGAAGCAGCTCTACCGTGCTACGCTGAGATGACACCGTTCTGAGATGATGCCCTGCATATGGGAGCGCACAGTTGAGGGACAAGGATGTCCGGTCTACCCAAGAGGTATCGGAAAGAAATTGGCTTCGTCCGCCATTCACGAATATGCTTGAGTGAAGCCACAGTTGCTCAATGCGCCGCATCGGTTCACCGCGCTCTGTCTCACGATCCCGGCCCTTCTTCTACCCACTAGTAGCGAGCTGGGAAATACGGGTTCTATTTAGCCGGCAGAGTGCCAAGTAGCTCACTTGCCGCATACAAGTGATAGACGGTGAGGTGAAGTATTTACGTCTTCACAGGCTCGAGATGAGAGGGCTTCATCTGCATCGCAGCACATGCCATTCATCTCGTGCACTTGCTACTTGGGGTTCTTAACCAAGCTCTCTGCTTCGCCCCATCTCATCCAGCGCCACGGATCAATGACGCAGATCACTCTTGGGCAGAAGATGACTGAGTGGCGGGGTGGACATTCCACTTTTCGTCGTGGAGCGGGATAGTACGAAGCGTTTTCTGGCTCGATTCTCCGCGCTTGAGCGGATGTATGGACTTCAACCTGAGACGGGACAAACTGCACAACGCCAAATGTATGTATGCCTCACATCAAACGTCGTTTGAAAATCACCTGGTTCAAGGTATCATCAGTCACTCCYGTAGTCCGGCTGTCGTCTTTTGCGCTGCGATATGCCTCTTACCCGTCCTTCATATCCGCCATGTTAGCCTCGGGTTGCTCGAGAGCTTCGGTCAGCCCATCTTTCTCCGCTTTGCATCTCCTCGTGCATTTCTCTAGGTGTATGAGGCCCGTCGTTGGGTCTTGCCTTCTTTCGCTAGGTGTTCGTTCTTGCCTCTCTCCCTCGACATCTCTGTAGCCTTCCACAACCTCAAGGCCGTCTGTTTCCGTGAGCTTCGCGATCTCGAGTTCCTCTTGCTACTCTGTCGAATCGGCAGGCGGTTGAGCCAAGATCCGAGTTCACTGCCATTGGGATTCGGTGGGCAATAAGGAGATGTCAAACACAGGGCATGCCTCATATCAGACCTCGTCTGGCCATCACTTGCCTCGTCATCAGCCAGTCTTGCATCCGTCCATCTTTCACGTGAGAGTGAGAGTGAGAGTGAGGTGCACGTACCACTGGCATTCATTCGCTCACCACTAAACAAAGGAACGTCTGTCGCACTTCACCCCACGCCGCGTCCTTTCCATCACAAACACCAACCTCCGCGTCTCATTCGGCAACTAAGGTACGTACCATAGCACCCCGGTGTATTCGGACGTACCTATTCGGACAACTCGGCAGACACTGCAAACCGTCCCTCCCAGCACGACATCACGAATGCAGTCAACAAGTACGCCTCAACAACCAACTTCGGAAGTACCGACTGCCTCTCGTATGATGGCAGACCAGGAAGCTCCCTTGTCTTTGGAATCCTCGGTTGAGTCCATCCTACATGATGCCTCCCTCCTCCACAAGTCCACCTCACCTGACGACACTACATGCCCCGAGTCCAAATATCTGCATGTTCAAGATGCTGCACGCTTCAAAGCCCGACTTGATGAGCTACCGCAAGAACTTCTTGACATGATCGAAGAACGTTTGATGTCAGCACATATCGAGTCGTGGATAGACTCGGTGCCTGTCGAGTCCAGTACATCCATCACCATCCCGGGCGTAAGTTGGTTACACTATACGCTGGATTATGGTGCCGAGTACAACGAGAAGCCCTGCCAATCTTCGATGGAAGTGCATAGTCSACCTTGGATACACCATCCGCTGAAGATCATATCTCCAGACTGGGTCAGACAATCATCTGCCGTGTCATCAGCCAAGGCCGTGGTACGTCTTTCGCACGGGAGTCCGTCTCTCACCTGAGAGGCCATTGACAACATCAAACTCTCTGGACTACAGTGCTTCATTTTGCATCCTTTTCAATTCAAACAACACCCAAGCGCTGAGCTGACTCCGGCTCCCCAAAAACAATTTCCCCCAGCACAATTCTCATGCAACGACCACATTCAACGATCAGAGCGTATTCGCCGTGCTCGTAAACGGCGACTGCCWCGCCCAAACAAAGTCATTGCGAAATATGGAGCTGAAATAGGCGAGAGAGATGCGATATCGAACCCCGTTGTCTGTGCAGGAGGATTGAATCCTACTTACGTCACGCCTCGCTACACGGAGGACAAGCAGATCCACACCAACATCTCAGCCTCAGCCCCACTCTGCCAAGTAGGCAACATCATACGAGTAAGTCGTTTATATTTATTCGTCCAATCCTCTCCAACAACAATCGTTGATCAACTCTCCAGGCCACGAAATCCCAAGCCCGCCCCTGATATGGAAATGGATGAGAAACAAACTACATCTTCACCTCCATCTCAACGACCAACCCCAAAACGACGAGACACAGACAAAACCAGCTTCTGCGGCCTCTACGACGCAATAACGAATTTTGGCATCAGCTTATGTTGCTTTCTTGGTCGCTGAGCACGAACCCAATGCCAACCAAAGCACCCACACCTCAAATTCCACAATCAGCATCAAACCAAACCCCAAAACCATCAAACTCCGAAAAAACCTCCATCAGCTGCATTCTCGAAACAGCAGCAAGCCTCATTGCCAACTATCTCGCCCGCTGAATTCCCCACCAAACAAGGAAAGACACAATGTCGACCAAAACTCCTCAACCACCACCACCTGCACCCTCCCAAACATCATCAACCTCAGATGCGATTCCCATCAGCTGCCTCTTCGAGATCACAGCAAACCTCCTCGCCACATATCTACTCCCTCAATCTCCCAGCCGCTACATTTCCTTCCCGATGCGCATTGCATTGGGCCTGGCTCCGAGAGCTTTGTATCGTCGATTATCCGGCGGGGAGAAGGAAAGCGCACTACTGGGTCTCTTGTTCGTGGTGATTTCTATGCTGTTTACTTTTTGGGATGGCATGTTTGGGAAATGGTAGGTAGGTAGCTTGGAGAAGGGTAGAAGGGAGCAGGCAGACGAGAATGACTGTAATGATGCGTTGTATTCAAGCATGTTATCGATGCTTGACAGAGAATTTTTCAAATCGGACGGCTCCTGCGTACCTCATTTGGYGACTCTTGTCTACATAATCCCCGTTTCACTCAGCCGCAGTAGTCAAGAGGGACGTATTCCAACTGGAGGATTCTTTACTTCTCTCCAATCCAAGAATTGGAGACAGATGAAGGAAATTGATGAGAAGAAAGAAAAGGGGTCTGAGAGTTTGAACTGTAGGTTTGAGAGCATGTGCAAGTCTTGGCGATTTTGTCCAACGATCATCCATCATTCAAACGAGACACAACCACGAAAAGAGGATGGCAAAAGTCATCAACATTGCAATACTCCATGATACGCAGACCAGCATCATGCCCGCGTCTGTGCGACACCACTCTACACGTACAGTCCCACGCTCTCTCTTCCAGGGTTGTCCCCACCTGCATGTTGCATTCCTGTATGCGGCTCTACCCCACACAACCATCCACATGCTTCTTGAACACTTCTCGATAAACATAATGTTTGTTGCATTTGCGACACCGCAGATCCTGACATCGATGCGTCGCCAAACTCTCCCTGGCCGTCAAATACTCTTCGCAATAAGGGCACCACTCCGCACCGCCATTCATGCCCGCTGTTGTCGCTGGTATATCTGGATTGGAAAGATTGTCCCTACAAAAGAAAAAAGACACAAAAAATAAGCCATTGCTTCACAAAATAAAAATGTAGAACCTCCTCTTCCATCGCTCCCGCCGGGTGTCGACTCACAAAGTCCCATTGCTCACAGGAGCAGTAGATTGTGGAGGCTGTGGTGTGGAGCTGGATGGTCGGGGTGCGACGCTTCGCTGTTGAAAGCCGTTGACGGGCGTATTGGGCTGTGAGGGATAGTTGTTGACAGGAGTGCCACGACCAGAAGTGGACTGAGCTTGCTGGCCAGGGTATAGATTCTGCTGTCTTGCCTGAGCAGCGGCGAGATGCTGTTGTGCAGGGAGCATGGGACTGGAGTATCCTGCCGGAGAATTAGTCCGGTTGACACCCTGCTGGGTCGCGCCGTTAGCGGGATAGTTGGCAGCACTCTGAGGACGGGGTGGATATTGCTGCTGGGATGGAAAGGCGGGCGGGCGTTGTTGTGGGGTCTGAGAGGGTTGTTGGAATTGTGAGAGACTTCCATAACTGGCGGTGGTTTGCAGAGGTCGTTGTTGGTAGTATTGCTGACCGTTAGTCTGGCCATACGTGGACTGCGATGCTCCGGGGCGGGTATATGTGTTTGCACCACCATATGAGGGTCGAGGTGCGGCACTTGCTGGGGTGCCGTAGCTTTGCTGGCTGCTCGTCGAGCGGTTGAAGGAGGGAGTTGGGACAGACGGTCGACCGGCATACTGCTGGCCGTATCGTGTGTTGGCGGCTTGTCCAATGGCGGGAGCACGCTGTGATGCTGTGCTGTAGTGTTGACCAGCAGATGAGCTGGGTCGGCTGGAGAGGCTTGCAAGACTCTGTGCAGTCTGGCTTGCTGCGGCCTTTGCTTGACGAGTGACCAGATCTTCTTCCAACGATCCTCTAATGTCCCTTGATTGGAAGGTGAGGAGTGTGCTGACTCCCAGATCTGCAAGTTGATCTCCATCCAGCTTGGCGACCGCATAGGGAGGGAGCTTCAACACCAGGTAGGCAATCTCTCGCTGCAGGCTTTCATACGTGGCAATCTCCTCTTCTGATGGCTCGTCGGGTTTCCCAATCTTTGACGCAGCCGGGCCAGGACTAATGGGTACCCGTGATACAGCAATCGAGGATGGCAGGGCTGCATTACGGATGCGTTGATGAGATGCCAGAGTTTCCAAAAGCTCTGAGATCTGGCGCAGTACATGGTCAACGTCTGTTTTGGACTTGACAGGCTCGACTTCCATCTCCATGCCCTCGATGTCGTCCAGATTCGCAATGACCCTCTCCAGTTCTGCRTCGTTGAGTTCGGGCTCCTCATGTGAGACTTCCGGCGGTGGAGTGGGCAGTTGCTCGTCCAGCAATGCGGGATCGAGAGCAAAGGTGTTGATGAAGCGTTTGTGTCCGACCTTGCTCCACCAGACCGAGTTCTTCTCGCTTTCCGGAACGACGGCATTACTGTTGTCGCACGCCGGGKCATAACTGGAATATGCTCTCCGGAAGAGGGCAGCTTCCTCCTTTGCCAGGGCATCATCGAGGGACGCCTGTGTGGGCGTAGGGTCGAGCTTCTCACCCCCACTGAGGGCACGATCGCGCTGCTTTCGCTTCTCCCGGGTCAAGTCCGATAGAGGATCGACACCCCCATAGCCCAGCCATTTGCCGACCGTCACCGCCTGGACCGTGTATCCGCCCTTTCTGCTATTCCTCTGGATGGGATCCTTGAATTCCCACTTGAGGGTGGTGTCTCGGGTGGTCGATCTCTTGTGCGCCTTGGGTGGATTGAGGGTGGCCAGAGAGTGAGGAGGTGGGAACGTGTCCTCAAATGTCGGGCCCTTTTTGTCCTCCTTCGCGCTGACGGGGACAATCTTGGTGGCAGTGATTCCATTGGGGAGACCCATTTCATCCACGGGAAGTTCCATCTTGGTGGCCGAGTCCTTGCGGTCTGTGGAAGAATTCTGGACGGAAGAGAAGAGCTGTTTTGGGGTGGGAGCATGGCCGAACAAGGTCAAAACTGTGCCGACTTTCCGACTCGAAGCGATTGATGCAGCATCTTCCTCTTGCTCTTCCTTTTTGATCTGCGGACCTTCAGCTACGACCAATTCCTTGAGCATGGCTTCAAAGTGCTGTATGCGGTGGATGAGCTTCAAATCTTCCACCGACGGCCTGCCTCCATTGTAGGTATCCTTAGGTTTGCTGCGAATGGCGGAGATGAGGTCGTCGCTGATACGTTTGGCATCTTCGACGAGTCGGTCGAGGGAGGGATAGCTCGCATTCCTCAGCTTGGCGGCAATGGTCGAGGCGTCGCTGGACGGAGGTGGTTGCGACAGGCGGGCCTTTTTGGGGGATGGCTCGGATTGGGCGCTGGTGGGTCGGAGGGAGTGTTGGAGGAAGGTGGGGGTCGTGTCATGGCTGGGGAGGGTTAGCAGATGTGAAAGTATGTGTTGATCATGTCAAGACGTACGGCTCGAGGAGCTGCAGCAGATCTGTCTGACATTGTTTGTTGCGCGACGTGGTGGACGAGGCATCGTCTGCAACACCACCCTCTTCGCGCTTCCGTTTGGATGCGGCGTGGTCGGTGGAGGTGGAGGTGGAGGTGGAGGTGGTGGGCGTGGTCGTGGTCGAGACGGGGTCGGCGTTGAGGGCCATGATTGACAATGGCTCTGGTCGCGTGCGGCGCGTGTAAAAGGTGGGCTGTTCGCTCTCTGATTTTCGGGGGTTCAAAGATTGACCGGCGCGCTTGCTGCAAGTTGGTCGACGTCCATTCACCACCCACGTCAACTCCGGGAAAATGGGCGAAAAGCGGGAAGCAGTCTGCGCACTTCTCCACGAGATCGATCAGTGAGGAGATTCGGTCCGGAATGTGAGATCGCAGGGTGAGATGGCGATAGTTAGATGGGTGGTGAGGATTCGGATGCGGGAGGTGATTGCGGATCTCCCGACTCTGGCTGGACTGGACGTGATGGTCGATGGACACAAACAATGATACAACAGCAACAACAACGACCAACAAGTCGCGAAGAATGATGATCCTTTTGAAGGTATTGATTTCGCACTACCTCGCCAGCTCAAGTCGATGGATGTGTTTGGGTGTAGCATCCAAGGAATCTTCCAAAAGCAGCCCTTCCCTTGCAACACGCGGGAATGCTCACCACCTGGCCTTCCTTAGTCAGCCACAATGATTCGCGAATCCATGCACAACCTAAAGTACATGCTTCAATTTTATTCTTCCGTCCTGTATCTTCATCCCACCGCTTGCTGTTTGATGCATGCCACATGGCCACTGGACGCCACTCGGCAGGCTGCTCCGCTCGGTGCTGCGCCCTCCATCGCCATCACCGTCGCTATTGATATCCACCCTCCCGCTCTCCCAAAAACCACCCCGACGCGTCCACCCCCGTCCATCCCATGCCATTCGCGACGTGCACGACTGGTCGCCGAAAGGACATGATGTCCCATCCCAGACGGAGGAATCGGGCGAGGCAATGGGGCCGGATGGCTTCTGGGAGGTAACAGATGTCGAGAAATCCCTCCCGCAGAACAAATGGAAGCGATGGACCTCCCACCTGATAACGGATCAAGTGTCGCAAGCGGTGGAAGATGTAGACGGAGACCAGCCCCATGCTCACTATAGCAAGGGCAAGCATGCGCCCCGAGACTTTAATCCTGAAGTCATCAAGGGAAGCAAGCCTGCCAAACCGACCCTCCAAGGCATCCTCGCCCGCTACATTCGCGAGGAAAAGGGCGCGAGAGACGTGATGCAGGCGGATTGGGAATCGTCGTTTGTGCTCACGCCCGCCGAATCCGCTCTGCTCCACCGCCTACGCTTCTCCCATGACGATCTTCACGATTGGGCCGAGATTGTGCTGGCCGTCGACAATGTGCACGCCAGCCGCTTGCTAGTCTTTCGCCTGGACCGTCGCGCCGATGAACGCCTGTTTATACTCATGCACTTCCTGCGCCGCGAGTACATCAGCGCCCACGCCCTGCGCAATCTCATCACTTCCATCTCCAATCTCCTCCAACATCGAAGCCCCGAATTCACCGGCAGTCGACGCGAAACCCCCTCGCTCCTCCTGGCCGTCAATCGTCTACTCCGTCATGCGCGGGAGGTCTGGCCCCAGAGCATGCCCGCCATCGTTTCCATCTTCCTCGGACACTTGCGGCATCAGGATGCAACCCTCCGAGCCGCGTCGATTGGAGAATTACAATTCAACACCTTTGCCCTGAACAAGTTGATGAGTTGGGTCTCCCTTTCCACTGCTCTCATGCCATTCAAGGACAATGTCTTCCAAGAAATGGCCATCATTCCCATCCTGCAATACATGGATGCGCATGATCCACCCTTGCAAATCACCCGGCCTGGGTATCGCGCCGTCATTCGCATTCAACTCGCGCAGCAGAAGACGGAAGGCGATCGACGGTGGGCCGAGCTCAAGGCTCTGTCTTGGCCCCCCTGGAAAGTGGACAGGACTGCCATGGACGCCTCGGTGGGTCTGGAGTATGGCATCACTCGCGCACGTGCCACCCTTTTCAGCATGCGCAGTGCAGGCTA